CCCCAAAACCCCAAAACCCCAATTATTCAAAATAGATTAAATAGACAAGTTTTGAAATTTGAAATTTGAAATTTTATGAGATATAGATTAATGAATAAGGAAATTTACTTAAAGAGAATTACATAGGATTACATTTCTCCAGTAAAATTTATTTATTAAATTTTATAATACATAAAAATGATATTTTTCTCTCTAAAATAATGTCTTGTGAGGCTTATTCTGTTTGTGATCTTCATTAATGTCTACAAGTTTGAAAACTGTGATCAGAATTAACTGTAAAATCATTGTGGAGTAGATCCAAGATTTACAATCCTAATATATGGGGAAGGAACTACTCAAGACCTTGAATTATGTATAATATCTTCACTAGAACAGGAGTACTAAAATTACGAGATAATAGTAAATGTAAAAAGCTCGGCAGATTTAGAGTATATTCGTTCACGTTTTGAATCAGATTAGAAATCAAAGATGAAGATAAAATATAACATTTAACAAGAGGTTAATGATTTTGCTAAAGTCATTCATGATTCTATTGATAAAATAAATGGAGAGTTCTTAGTTTTATCTCATGCTTAAACTTAAAGTTAGAATTAAAGATTAACATTTGCTAATTAAGCTATACAGAGTCATAAATCCTAAATAATATTGTCAGATGTATAAATTTGGGATGATAATGATATACATTTTTCTAAAATTAACAAGAAGATGATTATACGCGATTATATGTGAAATCTAGATAATATTTTATTCTCTTAAAATCCATTTTATGAGTCAACATTGATTATTGAAAAAATTTACTTGCATGAAATTTTTAAGAATTAGTAACAGATAAACAGATTTGAGATATTAGATAAAATTTTAAAATGTCATGATGTCACTGATTTGCCTGATGAACTTGTCAAATGGACATTAAAAAATTTTCAGAAGAAATATGTCTATGACTTCACAAGTAGAACCTAGGAGGATCAATACAAGTTTTAGCACTATAATCGATACTTATAAAGTAAGAAGGAATTTAACCTGAAAACTGATGAATTTTCAAAATTTTTAAACTGCACCTTTGATTATCTTATCTGTGATAAATAAGTAAAAGAAATTACTTAATATTTGTTGATAGAGTTATACTTAACTGAAAAAACCCCTACAATGAGAGATTTAAAATCTCTTCTATTTTCGATAGATGAAATATCATAATATCTACGAATTCAGGAGAAGTTCAATGAAAATCCTAGTCATTATCCCTTAGTATCAATAGTAATGGCAAGTCATGACAGAGATTATTTTTTGCTAGAAGTAGTCAAGAGTTGTTTTTATCTTACCTATCCTAATTGGGAATTTTTCATTGTTGATGATGGCTCTGGAAATCCACTAACATTTAAAGTTCTTGAATTGTTTGAATCAGTTCCCAAAGTGATAATTTAATATCTATACACAAATCAGTATGTTCCATTCGCCAACAATTTCGGCATTGCATAAGTCCGCGGTGAATTTTTCGTATTGATAGACGATGATGACATTATGATGCCTGATAGAATAGAAAAACAATTAAACTTTATGTGAAACAATCCAGAAATAGATTTTAGTGGAGGCTAGGCTATAAGTGTTAATACATTTGGCAACATTATTCTAGTCCCAGATAGGCCTTTCATAAACATTTGGCATATTATAATAAGTCTGGTTGGAAGAAATCATATTCCTAATAATTCTCTTATTGTGAGAATGAATGAAAAAATGAAAAAGCTTTTTTATTACGAAAATATCAGTGCTTAAGACTATAAATTGTGGTTTAAGTTGTTAATTGACCTTGAGCAAGAAAGAATTAGAATTGGTATTACTGAGGCACATGTAGTTATCTTGAGAGAGCATAGAAAGAGGATGTCTTACTCTAATCGCAATACAAATCTTCACATTAAAAAATGGACCCAAAGCAAATAGATTGATGCTTATAATACTTTCAGTCCTTTATTACTAGAATAAGTTCATTCTTAATGCTTAACAACCGCATTACTTGATATTTCTATCAAATCTCATATTGTTAGAGCTTGCAAGGAATTTGATATGGATAAGATGGCAAAATTAATTCTTGCTCATTAACAGACTAAAGAATATTATTCATCTAAAGATATTTAAGAATTGAATGAAACCCTCAAGTTTTATACTCAATACTACAACTAAGCTGTTAAATAAAACAGAGTTGATCTTTAGCCTGGTCAAAACAGGAAGATCTTTGTTGGTATTTACTCATTAGGTGATTCTAAATTACTAGAAAAGCAAATAGAATCATTAAAAGACCATGTAGATGGGATAGTTGTTGTTGATATTAACACAGATTTACAATATAATCGTTTAAAATCTAAAAATCAAAACCCCTCTTATATAAAGTAGAAGTATTAAAATAACTAGAAAATATAAGTAGAAAATTTGGAATTTGACTTTTAAAAAATAGCAATGAAAAAATTGAAATTAAGATTAGATAATCTTAGAGTTGCAAATGCTGATTTTGTTTTGATTTTGGGGCCTGGAGAATTCGTTTATCCTAGGGAAATTAAGAGATTTTAAAATTATAGAAAAGACATAGGAATTTTTGGATTGCAGCAAAAAGATAATTCAAAATTGATTACTAGCCCTAAAATGACTTCTTACTAATTATTGAAATTTATGGGATTTGAATTTTTGAGAAAATATGATCTAGATCCTGATATTTTTAAACTTGCTGGTGAACATATATTTGAGGACAATATCTATACAATCCAATATGATTTTGGATATTTGAATGTTCAAACTTTTAAAAATGGAGGTTACTATCTAGATAAATTAAAATGAAAAATAAACTTAGAATATTTCAAACTTCAAAATGTATTTTCTTGATAGTTTGATAGCTTCATTGAAAGCCTTGATTAGATTTACCTTCAATGACATTTAAAAAATAATATATTAAATTTATAAGGCCAATTAGATCAAATTATATAATTCACTATATATAAAAAAATAAGTCTTGTGGGGTTTTGGGGTTTTGGGG